TATTGATTGGCTGATTTAAACCAACTGTGTTCTTGGAATCTTTCGTTGTCTATATTATTTATCCAGTTTTGATATGTTTCTGTGTTAAGTTCAGTCACTTTTTTTTCAATATCCTTCCTTCCTTAGGCTTTAGTAAGCCCCTTTATAATCTTTATACTGTATACACTTGTTTTCTTTTTAACATAATTTAAAATGTTCCATTATATGTTTCGGTTGTCATTTCCTTTTATTTGGTAACCGTAATTTAAATATCCTGAGGTGGCATGTTTGGAACATTTTTTCATTTAAACCTGATTATATATTATATTATACTATTTTATTTAACTGATGAGGACTGCAGTTGTCAGCCGAAATTATTTATTTTTATTGCAATTTTTAGTTTTATGATTCACCTTTACTTCATCAAAGCATAGCAGTGGCGAGGTGCTGGACAACTCGTACCCATCAGAACATGTCAAGTCGTACCCAATCACAAGAGAACTCGTACCCAACTGTGACATGTGTTGATTTATACACTTCTAAACTGTTTTCCAAATCTATGTGATGATTATTGTTCCTTATATGAACGAAAAGTGCACTGCTTTCAGATGCTGTTCTAATGTTATACTTGTGCTGTTTTATTCCAAAGAAAGACGGGAAAGAGTCTACCTTTACCGATAAATAAAAACGCGAGCCTTTTCACATTGCTATATAACATTGATCATATTGAATTTACTGTGTGATATTGTATGTGTGTGTGTGTGCATGTGTACACATTAAGAACGTCAAGGCAAACACGTCAAGGTAATATTATTACCTTGACGTTCTAAATGTGTACACATGCATACACACACGCACATTTATATTGACACACACTCATACAATATCACAGTAATATAAGGCTTCAAGGAGGAGTGAAACTCTTTCTTCTTTTTCTGGCAATCTTTTCACTGGCACAATCTCTCTTCAGCACCCAGCAGTAGTCTGCCATCATGTTCACATTCCTCCTTTCTTGATACCTCTTTTCCATTTCTTTAATGTCCTGGTGAAATCTTTCACTTTGCTCTTCACCTAAACTACCTAAATTATCAGGAAAATACTCAAGATGGGAATGTAAGAAATGCACTTTTACACTCATATTGCAACCCATGTTTTTAAAGTTATTCAACAAACATACCTTCAATAATGTTTTGAAAGTCTAGATCTTTTCTATTGCCTAAAAACTATATACAATATTCTTGAAACTATTCCATGCTTCTTTCTCACACTGGTTCATCGATTCTTCAAATTGGTGGTCCAACATTAACTTTCGGATTTGAGGGCCCACGAAAATGCTAGCTTTGATTTTTTTCATATGTGACTGATGGAAATTCCCTGCATATGTGCCTGAAACAATCACTTTCCTTATCTAGGGCTTTTACAAATTGTTTCATTAACCCTAATTTAATAAGCAGAGGAGGCAACAGCAATTTCTTAGAGTCAATCAATGGTTCAGGTAGAATATTTTTTGAACCTGACACAAGAGCCTATCTAGGTGGCCAGTGTTTTTTGTCCCAATGCTCACGTCTTGCTCTGCTGTCCCACTGGCACAAAAAACATGGCATTTTCATGTATCCACTCTGTTGACCAGGCAACAAAACATTGACTTTGAAATCTCCACAAACCAACCAACCATGATCTTTGTAATGAACTTTCTCCAGAAGTATCTACAAATTTTCATAAGTTTCCTTAAGATGAACAGAGTGAGCCACAGGAATTGATGAAAATAAATTTCCATTATGAAGTAAAACTCCTTTGAGACTTGTTTTTGAAAAAATCAATGAACAACCTCCATTCGGTAGCTGTATAGGTAATGCCAAAATAGTTAATTAAAGCAGATGCATTATTATAATAAACCAAGGAGCCTTCCTCTGAAAAAATAACTAGTTCTTGTTCGCATTGCCTATAGCCTACCATGAAAAATATGTCCCTTTGGTCAAAAACTTCTTTGATTTCAACCAAGATCCTAAAAGTTCAGAACTCCTTTGGTAAATTTAAATCCCTAACCAGATCGATAAGTTTACTCTGGGTAAACACCTCCGGTACAACACTAATATCTTCAGGTTGATAAACATCACTTCCGTTACCTGACAATGAATCACGGTCAGATTCTGATGAATGTGTAGCCGATAGTGTGCGTGCCAGTCTCCAGTACCTCATGGGTTCAAGCCCGAGGTCGAGGATAGATAAAGAAAGATGTTCCCTAATGCATAAACGTTTTTAACACAGCTGTATACAGTATATATATATTTATATATACCCTGTATGACAGTTTGACTAGGTTAAATACATTCAAGATTAGTATAAATAGTCTAGCATACAGGAGGCGAACGCCGTGAAGCAATGACATTTCTAACCACACCCTGCAAAATACAGTGTACGGTACTTAGCAAATGCTGCGTCTTCTGAGAATGGGGGGGGGGGAGCAGGGTTACTACTAAGAGCAGAGACGTTACCGAGAACAAATTCTGGCTTGAATGTCATGTACACTAATACTGGCATGTTTCTTGATAAGAGAGAGGAGTTTGAAACACTTCTGAAAGTACACCAACCAGATATTGTAGGAGTTGTAGAACTGTTGTACAAGAACAGGAGAATCGACCCAGAGGAATGTGAGTTCAGTATTGCTGGATATGACTCATTTACGAACCTTTCTCAAGAAACTTGCAAGAGGGGTGTGGTTATCTATGCTAGGCAAGACCTTAGAGCCAGCCAGCACATCATTGGCAGGGTGTGCTGGTGCATTATCCAACAGTAGCACAGTCTTAGTATTAGTAGTGTTGCTAGTACCTCCCATTGCTGGACAAAACACTAAAACACCTTCTGAAACCACTCCTGGGATATTTCTTGTGTGAACCAAGCTGTTTTATTGTTGTACAGGTATTAGATAACTGGCAATGAGTCCATAATGTTTTTTAGGGGCCTTGGTTTCATGCTTTTCCCGACCACAGCACACATGAGAATGAAAAGGCGGTCCTTCATCTGTGTTGTAGCTTGGACCTCCATATGTGTGGGGAAATCAGCCACCAAAAACAATATCTCCTTTATTGTAGACCAACCACATTTGACAAAGGATAACACTCTTGAATAAATGGGATCACTAGCAGTCCACTTCCTAATGTGACTTGCTTTAACAGGTGAGCCTTCAATATGCTCCAACAACAGAACCATATCAGTAGGAAGTGGAACAGAGTTGGGTTTATATGGTAGTGGTAACCTACTTAAGGCATCAGCATTACTAATATCCACACCACATTGAAACTCCAAGTGCTGCCAGAGCTATGATCCAACGCTGGATCCTAACACTTGCCATATTGGGCAAGGCCTTATGTTCACGTAAAAAGCGAATTCCACATGCATATGTATGTCTACGAATATGGGCCAACACACACACATGTGATGTCCTCTCTAGGACTACACTCATGATACATTGAGTTCAGTATTAATGTATTTAATCAAATTTTAAACAAGTCTTTTGATGCCTAAAATTTGTCATTGACATTATAAAATTGATATTTTAGATACAATTACAGGAGACCCTTGCCATTCAACTGACCAGCTGCGGCAGCACTCATCCCTCTTAACTTATCTAATAATAAAACTTTCCTTGTCAGAGTCATCACTGACTACTGCCTTTTACATTTCACTCCACTAGCATCACTAGTACTGACACCAGGCAGTCTTTTCGGGGCCATTTCACACAGAAATACTAAAGTTTTGAGAGTACAACACGAGATGCTGCGTGGGGTCACTCGTTGTGCTACGGGAAAAGGCTTGCAAGCTAGCCACCATCTGCTTACTACAAATAGTCAAAATTGTGAATTGCAAATGGCAAGGGTCTACTGTAATTACATTTTAAAAACTCAATATCTGTATTTGAATAACCACACAAAACAAACAAGCATTCAATAAAATATGGTCTATCTTTTTATCTACATGGCCAAATCAGCTGTGAGAAATAGGGGGTTATTTGAAACTGGAGTGGGTATTTTCAACCAAGGTTCAAATGATTGCAGGAGTAACTTGAACCAGGGGGTAATCCAAAACTTTTACACTAGTGCAACCTTATCCTTGACAGATTTTCTAAACAGTGTGATTTGTTTCCTGCTATTCGAGAAGCCCTATTGATCTTGACACTTCCAGCTTCCACTTGTGAAGTAGAGCAGTCATTTAGCATGCTGAGATGTGCCAATACATGGCTTCAATTAACAATGTCAACTGAACGTTTGTCTGGATTGTGCATTCTCAGTGTGCACGCTAGAAGGTGTTAAAATAGAAAGAAAGCCATCATTGAAGACGTGATTGATAATTTTGGAGCTGATATGCACCATCGAAATTTCACTGTTAATGTTCTGAGCAAGTCACTATTTGTAACAGACAGTGAGCATTGGTCATCCCCAGTTTATCAGGATTAATGATATAAAATGAATTATTATTGTTAGTTTTTAATGCCTAAGATCAACCCTGTGATAATTTTAGTGAAAATAATTTGGTGATAACACTGATAAGTGATATTGCTGATCATACAGTACAGTAGTCAAAAGTACGGTAACTCAGTTATACTTAATCATACATTTTGAATAAACTGATATGTCAGGCGCTTGTTTTGCTCTCTTGCAACCCCCTGCAAAAAATCATATGGACCAGTGTCGAATTATGTGTTTATCCCGAAAACTGCTACAGTGCTTTAAACGAACAATAACTTTTCCTCATAATAAATACTGCAAATAGGGGTAAGGAAGGTTCCAGGGAGAATTTTTTCACCAGATGAAAGAAGTGAAAAACTAATTACAATCAAACATACAACACAGGTATACTCACATGTGAAGGTGGAGAACATTGCTTGTATCACAACCAGACTTTCCATATTTTTCATTAACTGACTTTGGTACTTGCTAGTTTTCTTGGCACTACTGTACTCTGGATAAATATTACCATGGTGGAAGGCAAGCCTAGAGCAGCACCAATGTGAACAGTTCGGTCACCAGCTTCAAATTGCCGTAAAACTTCCCATTAGTACTAAGGTAATAGTTATCCGGGCTTTCCTTATGCTGGGCACTGCACTGTTACTTGTTGGGCACTTTGGAGGCATGAGGTCAGGGAAGATTAATTAAATACAGTAAGCACAAAATCCTTCTTATTTCTGTTGAGCTGGTCTGGCCATACCGAGTTAGGAATGTTCCTCGGATCCTCCACAACAAATACAGTAATCATGCACTAACAGACGATGACCAATGACACTGTATGTATAATGAAACAAAGTGATGTGAAAAAGATCTCTTCTGTAACTTATAACAAAACACTGATAAAATGGACCCCTATACATGTGTGCCAAATCCTTTCCTCAGTTATAAAATGGGATTTCAGGTTCAGTCCTACATCAGTGCATTCCTCCGGAGTAGTAACCCCGAGTTTGTAAAGCTGTTTGGCACACAACAATATTTCCTAATATCATTAGTGTCCCAATAATGATTCATAAAGGATACAAATTATTTTTATTTTTCATTTATTTACAATAAGTACAAAGTCAAAACTATGTACATTTCCGTATGACAATTAGTACACCATACCAGCTTGTCATGTGACTAGAACTAATCAGCGTATGATTCTGAAGTACAGTTAAAACACCGCTAAGCCGAAAGAACAACTGAGCTTACGGAGTTGGACAAAAGCTGCACAAAAACAGGGATATCTCCCAGACAACAATAACCTGATTAAAAGTTCACAATCAGTTAAGATCAACATCCATTCAAGGAGATTATTTGTCTGAATATACACAATTTACTATAATGGGATAGGATGTAGGGCTTTATTCACAAAGCCTTATGTGATTCAGTTGACCTCTTGCATAGCACAAATCTTTACAGTACATGGTTAACTAGCAAGCAAGGGAAAGGTACACACATCAATGTCTAGTATATGGTCTTTTGTCTGTGTGCGGTTAACTGTAGCTTTGCCCTAAAGATTATTCCTTTGTAAGAAAACTATAAAATATGATTATGTCACTGACCAGGTAAATAAGCACCTTTCTGTTATGCATTAATTTCAAAGACACTTTGCAAAATTATCTTTGAAGTCTTAGAACCTTGATAAATAAACAGAATTCAATTTCTTCCATTAAAAAATGATACTCATTAATTTTTATACAGTATATGTATCTACAAAAGGAATGCATTATCAACCACAAACACATCTAAATTCCTTATTACTATTAGTAAGTAATCACAAAATTTGTGCTGAAAGATTACCGTCCCAGAGCACATTACATAATTCACCTGCTTATCTTCTTTACTTCTAGGAAAAATTTATTGTGAGCATCATTCAGTCCTTGAGCTGTATCATTCAAATTCACAACAACCAAGAGTGAAGTCTTGTCAACCTCAATCCCAAACAAAATTATTTTAAATATGACTCTGATATGTAAAGATTCACTTTAATGCCATGGACTTTACTCTGAGTACTCGGTGGTAACCTGCAGAAACATACTGGTACAGTACGTACTTTGTAATGGAAGTGTAGGTAAGGAACTTAAAGATGAATATGACCTTCCTTCAATATTCATCTGTGGTCTCAAAACATTGCAGTCACAATATTATTCAACAAATACAAATAATTATAATAATAATAAAGACTTGATTAGTAACTAGCATTCATGTGATGGAAATATCCCACAGCTTACTGCAGGAAGGTACTTAAAACATGACAAATACAGCTATAGCTTATCATCAATTAACTGTCTTTATTCCTCATTTATATAATGAATTCTCCAATGGTAAATCTTTACTGAGAAATTCACATCCCTTTTAGATATAGATATGGCTTCCTTAGATGTTCATATCTCTTCTTTTGAAAGAATATACAATATTGAGCAAAACAGGTTCATGAAGCAACAAGAGATGGTTCACATCGTTCAGACAGTGTGCTAACAACTTGCTGAAATTTTGCATGTCGCTCTTCACTGTCAGCAACAGCACCCTTACTTCCCCATAGGAACTTAAGGTGAAACTCTGTTCGGAACATGTCAAGAGTAAGGTCGTCAAGAGTGTTGGAGTCAGGCAAGATGTGCTCTGCATTGCGGCGATAGAGAGTCAAGTTCTGTGTGACAGCCCTGGTCTCTTGCAGATGTGAGAACAGCATCTGCATCCCATAGTCAGATGCTGTACTCTCCCACTGGAGTATTGAAGCACCCTAAAAGAGAAAGATATTTAGAATAAAAAAATTAAACTTGAATTATGCTACTGTATCATTAAAGTTACTGCAGTATTTGTTTTAACAAATACAACAACCAAACAATGATTATTTCAATCTGATGAGTCACAAAAAAGCACATTGAGACAACCTTGTTCAATCACTATTACAGTGCTTAGGAGCTTGATATGGCACAAGTGTAATATAAGAGGAAGTAGGTGAATGAGAAATTTTCACAGACTAAGGTTGACTCTTATGTAGCTTGCGAGTCTTGTGACTGAACAGTTAGTGCTCATAACTAAGTTCTTACCAGAGTGGGGTTTGATCCATAAGGAAATACCCATGTGGTGTCCCTGTTAATCTTTTCACAAGAGCTTAACCTTACCCAAAATTTATGATACAGTACTTGAAATTGGGGAGGGGGGGGCCCTGCCCCAAGCTCTAAAAGTGCCCTTATTTTAGTCACAAAAATACTGTCAACAACTAACAAAATGTTTAATAGCCCTTCTTAATAGAAGTAAATAGGATCTGTTACTTTTTTACTGTATATGATTCCTTTCAAAGTTAGTTAGTTTGCTAGTTCTTTATTCTCTTATCCCCAAGTAGGTGAGAAAATCAATGTGCAAAACTCTGTGAATCTGGACCTGTCTCTTAAAATTTAATCTCAATAACCATATTAATACAATAAAATAATCATGTACACAGTTTAAATAATAGATAAAGTATATATCCTTACATGTTTATGCATGGAGTAGATATCATTAAGGTCCCTCTCACACAATAGTATGAACGGAAGGATGTGCGGAATGGTAGTGTTTGGTGCCTGAGGGTTTGTGCATTCATTCATTGCCTTCAAAGTTGACCTTAACTTGGATTCAAAGTTGAATGCAGAGTCAGTAAATTTTTGTCGTACTGTGTGCCACGTGCTGGTTAGCCTCTGGATCTGTCATGTAAATGAATTATTAAGGAAACTTTAAAGAGAAAAAGACATTGTCCCAAACACAGACTATGAAACAATAATATTCGTTTCATGAACTATTGTGTATGGGGAAAGCCAAGTTACTCTTTATTGAAAAGAGTTTTATATAACAAGAAATTATCTGAAGAGGGTCAGCTAAAAAATAAATACTGTATGCTGATTCAGTTACTGGTACAATATACAATACAGTATATATTCTTTGGTTAGGTTAACCAAAAAGCCATAGAAGTTAGCTCCCCACTACATTAAGGCAGAAATGTTACTCCTAATATTTAATTATCTTATTCTTTTCCGACATTAGTACAGTACAGTCCCTCCTCGACTTACGAAATACTCGACTTACGACAACCCGGACATACGACCGCCGTGGTCGTATAAAATATTTTTCAAATTACGTATTTTCTAGTACTGAAACGTTTTGGTCCCGTGCGACAGCGTGGGCTGGGCTGCCTCAGTTGGTGTTTGGCCATCGTTGTTGTTAGTGATCTCGCTATGTACTGACAAAATTTTTGTTTCTAATTCCCTTTAAAATGGCTGGCAAGCGTAAAAGTGAGAGTTCTCGTGGTGCCGATAAGGAAAGGAGACAGTCAATTACTTTTCAGATGAAAATGAAAATAATAATGCAATATGAAAATGGAAAAGTGGTAGCAACCATTTCACGCGACCTTGGCTTCTCTCACTCGACGATATCAACAATTTTGAAGGACAAGGAACAAATTCGTGAGGTAGTGAAAGGATCAGCACCTATAAAGGGAACAATAATAATGAAAAAAAGACAAGGTCCTCTTCATGAGATGGAGAAATTACTTGTGATGTGGATGGAAGATCAGCTGCAAAAGCGTGTATGTACCCTTAAGCCTTCTAACCCTACAGGCTAAGGCAAGAAGCCTTTTCGAAAGCTTGAAAGAGCAGGCAGGATGTGAGTGCGACCAAAACTTCACAGCAAGTCATGGGTGGTTCTAAAGGTTTAAGAAATGTTACAGTTTGCACAGTGTAAAGGTGAGTGGAGAGGCAGCAAGTGCTGATGTAGGTGCTGCCGAAGCTTTTAAGGAGGAGCTACAGTAGATCGTGTCATCGTGGAGGGAAATTATTTGCATGAGCAAATATTTAATGTGGATGAAACTGGCTTATTCTGGAAACACATGCCAGAACGGACATACATCCACAAAGAGGTGAAAACCATGCCGGGATTCAAGGCATCCAAGGACCGAATCACACTTCTGTTGGGGGGGGATGTAGCTGGTTTCAAGGTAAAACCCTTCATGATATATCATTCAGAGAACCCAAGGGCTTTCATAAATATCAGCCAGCACACATTGCCAATGTTTTATCGCAGTAATAAGAAAGCATGGATGACCCTTGCACTGTTTAAGGATTGGTTCCTGAGCTGTTTCATTCGAAGAGCCAAGGAATATTGTCTGCAACAAGGGGTTGCGTTCAAGATTATATTAATTTTAGATAATGCTCCGGGACACCCACCACACCTGGACGACCGGCACCCTAATGTTAAGGTAGTCTACCTTCCACCTAACACTACCTCTATCATCCAAACCATGGATCAAGGTGCTATTGCTGCTTTTAAAGCGTATTATTTACGTACGACCTTCGCTCAGGTTATTGCTGCTACTGAAGGTGAGAAAACGCTCAGAGAGTTTTGGAAGGACTACAAAATTTGCAATGTACAAAGAACATAGCTGCAGCATGGGATGAGGTTACAGGTCAGTGCATGAATGGAATATGGAAAAAGGTACTGAAAAGATATGTGAACAGTTTCAAAGGATTTAATGAAGATGAAGCAATTTCTGAGATTAGTAACAAGATAGTGCAGATGGGTCAACAGCTGGAGTTAGAAATTGATAATGAAGATGTTGAGCAGTTGGTGGAAAGTGTAGCAGAAGAGCTAAGGAACGAGGACCTGATTGAACTGGATGCACAGAAAATTGCAGAGGAAGAAGAGAGACAAAATGTAGAAGAAGAACTTGCACCCCTCAAAATGTTTTCAGTGAAACAAATGGCAGAGGCATTTGCTACTATTTATAAAGGAATGCAAATGTTTGAATAAATGGATCAAAATGTTGAGCGTTTTGCAAAAGTTAACAGACTGATCCAAGATGCACTTGCTTGCTACAGGGAGATTTACAATGAAAAGAAAAGGCAAACTGTGCAGTCTAAATTTGACATATTTCTTAAGAAGTCCCCCACTGCTGTCTCCTTATGTCCCACCACTGCTGCCTCTTCACTCCCTAAAGATGATCCAATACCTTCAACAAGCAAGTATGTTAGCCTGTCTGAAGAAAGCGAACTTGATGACCCACCCATCCCTGTCTCCTCCTCTGCTTCATCCAATTAATGTAGTCTACATGCTAAATTAAAAAATCATTGAGGCCCTGTGTGCATTCAACTGACTACATTAAAGGTAAATTCACAGTAACACTTTATTCATTTTTCATTATTGATTACTTTTACTGTACAGTATTCTGTATTTCATTTTATAATTTCTATGTATCATTTTTCACTTTTTCGACTTATGACCTGTTCGTCGGGACGGAACCCCGTCGTAAGTCGAAGAGAGACTGTATAGGGTGGATCAAGGTGTACAAAAACCTCGAAGATGGGGAGAAATAACAGGGAAAGCATAGCAAAACAATCACAGAGAGACGGGAGAGAGCTAAGGTAATAAATAGAAATAAACACATTATTTAAAGCCACACTAAATCATTAATCACTTCACTGAGAATACTACCCTATGTTCAATATATTTTGTCACAGTATTAATTTATTACATTCATTATCATTCATAACCATTCTCTGAGCTTTACGTGTCATGATCCATAATCATTCATTAGGCATTATCTAACTTGACAACTAATTCATCTATATGATATGTCTAACCCTTTATCAGTACAGTATGTCTATTGTGCCTCCAGTTACACCCACATTAATATTTCAAAGCAATCTTTCACCTCTCATACACTCCATATACCCATGCCACTTTAATACATTCTCACTCATTTGACTCAACACTTTCTTCTTACATCTTCATTCCTTACTGGACTAGTATCTGAATTTTCATGTTTCTTATACTATCCATCTCCAATGCTTTAACTCTAGATCAACAGCTTCTCTAAAACATGTATACTGTACATTTCAAATTGTTAGAAAATTTTACTGCAACTCTGTAACTATCTCTCTGGAAGAAATTGTCAGATTCTTTCTGTGGTGCTATGTCCCAAAATTGTCATTCCGGAGAAAACTTGTCAATTTTACAAACAGGCCTTGCAAATGGCCTTGACAAAGATTGCACTCATGCTGGGCTAGATTAAGAGGAGGGCAAATGGGGCAGCTACCCGAGGCCCAGAGCTTACCATTACAACAGTACTGTACTATATTATTCCTGTATTGTTTATTTAGTAATACAGGTACATAAAAAATTCTAAGTAATAATTTAAATTTACGTTACACAGTCAAATGATTCAAGACAACCTCTAGATAGCATGGGTGCTGACATCTGGCTGTAGCCTATGAGAGCACTTATCATTACTCATACAATATTGCAAGAGTGCTCTATAGGTTAGTCCACCAATGATATTAAGTGCAGTGTCTTCCCATAACCAAGGCCCAGTTATTTTTAATGCACCCCTGCTCTCATCTCTCATTTGTTCTTCATCCTTTCATTCATCTACTGTTCTTTAGTTTTTCATTTCTCTCCATGTTGACCAATGCTTCCTAATTATACCAAAAGAGTACAACAGCATCAATATCCTTACCTCTGGAACACACAGGCCCAACATGATACCCGTAAAGCCATAGAGGTTCCCCATGGCTGTCTTAGTGTCTATTGCCACCTGGATCCAGCGATGTATAACTTCTGATCTTTCATTCAGATCTGGAGTCAACAGTATGGTCACAGCAACCAGAAGTTTCAGGCACTCAGTTCTGTGAAACAATGGGAAGGTTTTGGCTTAGCACAGAGATGTATGGAGAGTTTGAGAGGGAGGACAACTGGCTGGACAAATAGAGTACTGTACTTAAGGAATAAATAAAGACAAAAGAATGATAAATAAAAGAAAAATGAGGGGGGAAATGGGAAAGTACTTGTACCGGTAAGTGAATAAGAGACGGAGACAATAGTAGAAGATAATCATAGTAAAAATTATTTTACAAGTGTGATAAAACTAACTTCACATAAACTAATACAAAAGTTTTAACACTGCTGCAATAGTCCTGTTTTTAAGTTAACAATAATACTTTGATTCAATTCTTAAATTGGTTAAATTCTCCATTTTATATCAACTGGAGACAAACTGGTATGTGGCATAAAACTTGAAAACATTTAATTCCATATCTCACCTCTCAATAAGGTCTGTCCTGAGCTGTGCCCCATGTGGAAGTGTGATAAGCTCAATGCCTGATGTCACCCCAAGACCGAGGTCATTCTCACCCGCACCATTTAGCAATTCCAAGTCAACCCGAGTTAGGTGGGCTGCTAAAACTCTGTGAAAACCAGACAAAATCATTACATAGAAAATTAATTGAAATTTTTTGTTTTACAATACGGGCACTCTTTAATCTCAGGAGTACTTTTATTAATGCTGCACTGTATGTTTCATTAAACTAAAATTTTTTTAATCTTCAGTACAGTACAGTATATCATTATATTTCTACCATAAAGGAAATGTTGATGACATAAAAATGGTTCAAATTCGTTCAAATGTTAAGTATAATACAGTACAGTACAGGCAGTACAGTACAGTACAGTACAGAAATTTGCCTGTTCGGAATTTGGGTAAATTTTTCAAACATAAAAATCACGATATATAACAAAGAAATTCACCGAAATTGTAAATTTATTTTGTGTGGATTCTTGGTGGTAGGATGGTTGGAGGACGGCTCACCTCCCCAGTTGCCAGCAGCCACCACAACAATGGCGCAGCTCAGTTTGAATTCTGTGTACCCTTATTCAAGATGAGTGTGAAAAAGGCCAAGTTCAGGTCAAAGCAGTGGTGATAAAAGCTTCCATAAAGGAATTAGGTTGGACATTATACAGTACATGATGTTTTAAGGAGATAACTCCCAGTAACTCCAATCGTACCACTTCACCTCACCACCTCATGCAGCACTCAACATTGTTTCTGGTGAGTTAAATTAAAGTGTGTGCATTTATTATCATGTTACATCAGGAATGAATCATTGTACGGTATGTGTTTAAAACTGTCTATTTTCATTCATATATGCGCTCGTTACGCGTTACGTTTTGTGGCACAAAAAATTTCCATAGGAACGCATCTCAACTTATATAATAAGAGACAATGGGCAAAATGGTTTCGGGACGCAGACTTTCACGATGCGGAAAGATTTTAGGGAACGGAACCCTTCCCTAACCCGTGGGATGTCTGTAATGTATTCCTAAGTGTTTCTCACCTTGATCCACTCTCTAAAAGTGTATTCTTCACCCCTTTGAGAGCTGTAGCATCAAGAGGTTTATTTTCTATGGAGTTTAGGAGGAGAGTATTGAAGTTCTCGAGATCAAACGCTGTGATGGAGACCAACTCTGGTAAGGAAAAGAGCACAGGTTCCTCATCTACCACAGAGTCCTCCTCCAGCTGAACACTGCCAGTATCACCAAAGGAAGCTTGGCTGTCTCGACTGAAAATAAAAGGTAATATATTAAATTTTGAAGCCTTCGGGATATTCTATAGTAACAGTTACCAACATGATTTATAAAAAAAAAAAAATCTATATATATATAAATAAAAAATAAGAATCTGCAATTTAGCTAGAAACATAAATTGAGTACAGTACTGAGTACCTCGTCAAACACTTAGCAAGATGGTGGAGCTCAGGTAAGAGAAAGAGTAACAAGGAATAACATAAATTTCAGCTAAATCAGAAGATTTAATTTTGTTGGGAAAATGAGAGAGAGATGTTTTAGTCATCTGGATCAAGAGATTGTCATATTATGTATAAGAACATGTTTGAAAAAGATAATAAGAATAACCTTACTATTTAACCTGAAGTTTAGAAAGAGCAATGTGCCCTTTAGAGTGAGACACACACCAACAGGTGATAGAGAGTTGCAAAGACTGGAATGCCTAATGATCTACTGTTGAGGAGTATAATAGTTTTGAAAAATGTTACCTTTAAATTATAACACAAGAAGTACCAGTAGATGGTGAGAATGAACAGAAGTCAACGTACCTACTGATGTTAAATATGATCCATGTAATCATGTACTGTATCTGTTTTATAGATGTAGGAACGTACTGTACTGTACTTAGAGCACATACTACAGTACTGTATACACGCATACATTAATTAGTACTGTACTGTATTAATGAGTCCAGTACTACAATTTTTTCTACCAATTAGCAGTTACCATCTATTACTGATGGTAGAATTTATGTGCTTTTATATAATATAATAATAATAATAGCTGGTCTTTTATTTTTCAAAAGTGCCAGCTCTTCTTAAGAATTCATTAGCGCTCAAAATACTGTACTACAAATTCAAAGATTTGAAAATTAAAATAAATACTGTAATACTGTATCCTTCACATTGTAAACTTATACAAGCATTTGTTTGGAATAATATCATACATATCACATAAGAGAAAACAAAAACTTTATAAACTTTATGGAATCTAAAAACTGTACAAGTAATATACAGTATACTGTATGTACTCTTTAAAATGTCTACGCTGTTCTCATTTTCTTACTCATTATTTCTTACAAACAAAAGTTCATCATGCTGTTAATAAATGCACATATAATACTGTACTGTACTAGCAAATGATTTTAAATTTCTGTTCAAAGAATTCAATCAATCAGATGCACTGTCCTCATATCTGAGGGTTCGTGACCACAGTCCTCCACTCTAAAACGTTTTTGAACAGTTTTTACCAATCCTCTAAGGTGTTATATCTTTATGGGGACCTAGTTTTTAATTTTATTCATCCATCCCAGTCTGCCTTCTATTGGCCCTCCTACCCTCAACTTTGCCCATTAATATTTGTTATTATCCCCTCAAAGAATTATAGGGTTTAAAAATCATTACTGGTTTCTGTATAATACTTACTTTCTGGCATCACTGGCAGATGTTTGCACAGAGTCACCAGAACCGTTGCCTGAATCTGACCCCGAAGGTTGGTACATCTCTGACAAGCGGGAATGTCGGGGAGTTGACGTTGTGTCCATACACCCTGTAATAACTTCACTGTTTTTAACATTGTTGTCGGCCTCACTACTCGCTGTAGGAGTCTTCACGTCCTCAGTCTTTAAGTCTTTCATTTCTTCTTCGTCAAGTTCATCGATTTCAGCATATAATCGTTCATTAATAACTGGTTGTGGTGGCTTCTTGGGCTTAGTTTTAAAAGATGGAACACGTGAAGGCTTTGGAGGAGGTTCTTCCTCTGTTGATTTTTCTATTGGTTTATCTTCTTCGTGGCCTCCCAAAGTTGGCTCTGCTGATATAGGTGAAAGGTGTTCGGAAGGGATGGAGAAGGATTTCGTTGTCATCTTTCGTGGTAATGACTGAGAGGTAAATTTATTTTGTTCAACTGTTGGACGAGAGCCGATTACTCCATCATTACTGCAGCTCTTCTCATCAATTCTTGTTGGCACTGTGGAAAAAATATCACATTTATTATAGAATTTACCAGAGTTCAAATTCTCAATGCACAAGTCAGTTTAGGGATATTGTAAAAAAATCAGACATGAGGTAACTATCCTCAGTTTAAAGTATATGTACATTTATATTTTTCAGATATGGAGTACCTAACTAGAGCAACGTCCTTCAGCATAGTTCCTCTAACCCCTTCACTACGGGGAAGCCACTTTTACTATTTTATTTGGCTAATGCCAGGCCAATTTATTCCATACAGAGAAAGTCTGTACAAAAAGGGGTTAATGATGTATTTACCTGTTCCTCCCTCAGGCGGCTCATCTGGAGGTCTAGAAGTGCTACTACTCCGTGTTTTAATGGGTAATAAAGGTGCCGTGTCTCGTCGTGTCCTGGGTGGAGAGTGGGCAGGGCTCCTCACTATGGCGCAGCCCACACCTACTGGGCCACTGTATGAGTGTTGATGCCTCAGCATGTTCCCACCGATCAAACCTCCCCTGCAAAATGGATGTTCATATAATATAAACCAACATTTAATATATCTAAAGTTCATAATCTTTTTGTGTATTATTTTATGCCTTTAATTTTGATCTTGGACAAGATAATAAAATAAGGATCACATGAAGATTAATCATGTAGTTTATTTATGCTGCTGATTAAAACACCCTAATGCTACCTGGATGGGGGGGGGGGTAGTAGGTTAGGTTAAGTGAGAATAGATAAGCATTATGGTGGTTTATCTTAAGGTGAAATAAGCTGGGGCCAATCTTAGTGTAATCCTGGAAAATAAATGAATGTTAGATTTGTATTATTCATCCACTGATTCTACATAATGGTTTAATGCAAAACAAGTTTAAATAGAAAGAAGTTAATATCCCTACTAATTTTGCCTTTTTAGGATAACATAAATGCATACTTTAAATTTCAATTTCTTTAAATCCTTACCCAGGAATTGGTTCAGATGCTCTGTTACTTGGTCGACTGAGAGTTCCATGTGTGAAGGTGTGGGCAGTCTGGGCAGCATATTTGGAAGCATAGAAACTCAATGGTGCTGTGCGATTGACAGGGGTTGAGATCCGAGCCCCAGATGAAACTGTGATAGGTTTCTTGCCTCCCACATATGCCCTCACCAAATCAGGGATAGAGTCGTAGGCATCATCTTCTAACTGGTATTGTATCCTTTCATACACTGTGTTGGGCTGTACAACAGTCTGAAGGAAGATACATTATATATCAAATTAGTAGGAATTATACAATTTAATGCCAGCAGGGAACAGCAGAGCCAAATAGATAATAACATAAGCAAGAGTTGGGAATAAACACTACACTACAATCGTTTTATACTACTGTACAGTAAAACCCTCGTTAATTCAGAATATTTTGACATTATTCTTTTACTTAGGTACTTTTTTACTTTTATCCTCTTCACCACGGCTCATTAGTCGCTTGGGCGATCGGTCACGTCTCTGTTACGCACTGTTGGCAAGTACTGGGCATGCACCGGCTCCTGAATGTAACTGAACCTGCTCCAGTGTTGGTCAAGTCTGGTCTTGAAAGAGCTCACACTCGGTAACGTCACAACACTTTCTGACAGATTGTCCCAAGAGTTCACAACTCTCACTCCGAAAAAGTTTGCCCTCACAGTTTTCTGGACCTGCGGCTTCTTCAATCTTGAGCTGTGACCCCTTGGGGGGCAAGCGACCACCAGCTCCAGGTAAGGACACTTGACTGAGTAGTGCCCCCTGAGATGCTTATACACCTCAATTAGATCGCCCCTTGCCCGTCTGTAGTATAAGCTAGGCAAGTTCAGGCGCTCCAATCTCTCAGGGTAGTTGAGGTGCCGAAGTGCAGGCACCAGTCTGGTGGCCCTCCTTTGAGCATTTTCAACCAACTGACAGTCCCTAGCATATCTCAGGGGCCAGACCGGCTGACAGTACGACAGATGGGGACATATAGGTGGTGACATATAGTGGTCAGTGACTCGTCCTGTGGTAGGAGGTCCCTGACTGTGGGACAGTCAAGGCAATAGTGTTGAAGGGTGTTAGCATTGGGACAGTTACAGAGTTTACAGGAAGAGAAGTGTGGGTCATCCCCCACCTCAGATACCTGCCAGATAGGTCTGTTTCCTAACCTAATGTGAGCAGACAACATTATGTCTGTGGACCATAAGTCCACGTCGACGATTCTTGTGTGGATAAAGAAGAAAGTGATCAGAGTGTTGGATGGATATATTTTCAGCCCGTTCACTATCCCTGCGATGGATTGTAGGGGGAAGAGTGGCAGCACAAATTCCCTTTCGGCAGGTCATGCTGAGCTTATATTTAGGCCTAAAAGATCCTGATTGGACAACCATAATTCGAGAATCAGTTATTGATTCATATCAATAGAAGGATTTCCAAATAAACATGTGTAATGCCATGTGTCTTATTTTTATCTTTAGTTAAAAAATGCTTAATACAGTGGTCCCTCGGTTAACGAGCACAATTCGTTCCAGAAGGTTGCTCGTTAACCGAAACCATTGTTTCAATGGGTTTTTGGGTAATTGGTTCCAGCTCACCGAAAATTACATACAAACTAAAAATAAATGCAGTAATGTACACTTACTTTGAGGTGTGCATGAAGGCATTGGGGTGGAAGAGAAGTCACCCCACGCCGCCATTTCACCCATAAAATTTTAGTTCACTTGGTGTAATTCAAGATTATTTTCTTTAAATCAACACTGCACTGTGCTGTATATTATCAATATGTAAAATATATATCAAAGTGACCAATAATTTGAATGGAAACACAGAAAAAAAGCATTTATGTTGAAGAGTCTCAAACAAGATGTTCCTTCCTCTGAACTGGTAAACAAACTGACGCCAAGCTTGGTGTGTTGAGTGGCTGTTTGGCGCGCAAAAAACTAGCTTCCTGTACTGCAATTATATTCAATAATTGTTAAAATGACTAAAAAATTTAATATAAAACTTTTAAAATTATTGAATAGTACAACCTTCTTCATATTTACTAAAATGGTAAGGAATTTAAGCCCTAAAACCGATTACTGTATTGACGGACTAATACTACAGCTGGTGGGCCGCCAAATGCAGGCGAAAACATGTTGGGAAAAATTTGTAAGGAATTCGTTAACCGAGGGTTTGCTCGTTAACTGAAGTGAAGAATCTTATGGAAGGTAATTCGTGAACCAAAATTTCGTTAACCGAGGCGCTCGTTAACCGAGGGATCACTGTAATGTATTATGGAATTATTTTAATATTTGAGACAATTAATAATTTTGTTGCTACTTTTTACTTTCAGTGCTTAGGTACTTTATGAATGAGATACTTTTTTATATCTACTTAAGTTCTTTGATCTTTGGATACTTTTACTTCTACTTGAGTAACATTTTGCCAATGTAACAATACTTTCACTTAAGTAACAAAAGTCCGATACTTTTTACAACTCTGCCTGTAGTTGAGCTTATGGCTTCAACTACTCAGGTCTTTCACAATGTATTTTAGATTGATAATTGCAGTAAACATAATTCTATAAACTTATTAAAAGTTTATTAGAATGAGGTTACTGATGACTGTGCTGAACTAAAAATGGGATAAGACTGGCAGCTGCATGGCAAAAATATACAAGGGAAAGAAGATGAGAAACAACAGGGAGAAAGATTGATTACTAAGATGTTAATGAGGTACAGAAGAAGGAGATGGTTAAGAGTCTCATATTATTATGTAAACACTAAGGATAGGACAAAGATCAATAACAAATACTGAATTAGAGTACCGTCCTCATATCTGAGGGTTGATGACCACAGTCGCCAGATGATACTTTTAGATTGGGAAGATCTAAAAAAGTTATGAAGGGCAAGTGTGCTGTACCATAAAAATAGATTGACAACAAGTAGTGGAAGGAACAAAGAAGGCTAAGATAATAATTATAGAAAAAACAAAACTTACTGAGGACAGAGATAAATATTTCGAGTAAACTAACTTTTTGTATGACGAAGTGTAGAGTCTGGGTGGACCAGCGGCAGGTCAGCACAAAGTCACCGGGCTGGGAGATGCAGTCCCTGGGGAAAGTTGATTGATGTATTACTACCCTTTAAGTGCATATTCTAGGTAAGTAAATACACTAATCATCAACAATTAAAAATTAAGAGAGACACATCTCCCTGAGTATGGGGAAGTCACATGTAATAAAGAAAAAACAATTATTTATCCATCTTGTTTGTCTACTTTCACAAGAAGATGGGAAACTTCTCTATCTACACCAAGTTCCTGCAGGATGCAACCAACTTCAATAAGTATTAACTATTTACTTTCTATTTATAAAGCAACCCAATCTTCAGCCCTCTGGAAAGGGATGCTGGAGAGAGGTTGAGACACATTCAATAAGAGAAAAATTTTAAAATTTTGATCTATTCACCAATCAATCAAGTCCATCATACGTCATACCCATCTTGTTATAAATAAATCCATGAGCATCCCCCTTTACCCCCCTCCAAATGCAGACAATTCTAATTACCCCACAGAATCAGTCCTAAAAAAAAAAGGGCAAGGCGGAGTGTCCCAAATACAGTACCTAAATAAACAGTGAACTACCCACCTGATGAGGAAGGAGCCATCCTTGAGAACGACCTCCTCAGCACGGGCCCTGGGGATGGTGCCGTGGTACCAGGCATGAGAACGAAGATCACCAGAGTCGAGGCTTAGCTCCCACTCCAGCAGCTTTCGTAGCTCTCCAGTCTCCGCCACCACATCCACAGATTCCTTCTCCAGGTGGTCAAAGGACTGCAAAGGTAAAACTTTTCGGTGATATGCTGTTGCATCAATAGTCTGCCCCCACTCACTGATTTCAGCGTGCCCTTAATCTGTTCCTGGGATTCTTACAATAATTTGGTATACAGTAGACCTCATTTCCAGTAAACTTGCATAGATCAACACATACACACACACACTTATTCCGTCGGATATTATACTGTAAACCTCTGTCTCCATTGAGCGATCTTAAAATGATCAAAGCAAAACGAAAATCGAAAAAATGCACTGAAGCTGTGATGTTGATCTCTGACCTTCGGGCTGTCACAGGGAACATTTACACAAGTATAATATTTTGTAACTCCATTCTCGAATTACTGCTGAGTACATATTGTATGTCTGGTGGTGACCAGGACATGTGGACCCTGAACACATAGCAACTCCAGGGGTTGTCGAGGTGAATAAAGATGTTATGTAAGAATGCAAATCCTTTCAATTCCAGTTAAACTTTGGTAATGCACAGGTACAAATGTCACTGACCTCCTTAACCTCGTGACCTATTAGCGCAAGTGGTCAGAAGCTACAATAGAAAATGAGTACAAACAAGATGAAAGAATTGGCCACATAACGTAGGAAATTATAATAGTCTAGACAAATGGTGGTCGTACGAAAATAAGAAAAAAACAAAGAACTAAGCAGAAGTTAGTGGCAGTGAACAGGACACGGATATCGAGTATGGTACACCGAGGACAACACCCACGCTTGAGACCACCGCCGCCCACGCGTCACCGCCGCCCACGCGTCACCGCCGCCCACGCGTCACCGCCTCCCACATGTCAACACCTGCCAAGTGACACAACCAATGACCTCATCCCATCCTTACTATAGCTGATTACATGCATCCTCTGTCGACTAATCGTAAGGACAAGCAGAGTGGTGGTTTGTACCCTGTTAACTGTGACTGATGGAGCGTAAACATTCCATTCATCTTTGGTCATTCGCTTTGTTTTGGGGGGATTTTATTTTATTATTAGTTTCATGTCTTTAAATCATAAACTGAATGCCATTTCTCAGCATTCGTCTAATCAGGCCTTATACAGAGTGCTATGTGGCGTCTGTCTGTGTACTGTCTATCTTTATACATATATTAACTGAAATTTATGGTGTAAGTAGCACGGTGATAAAACCCAGTAGTAGTAGATAACTTATAAGGCTAAGAAATATGTTGAAGATAATGATCAGTTACTTTGCCCTCGAGGGACTCATAAGCATGTGAATTAAGTTTTGATAAGTGTGTGAATTTTATAAAAAATACCCGCAGGTCACATTGTAATATTTTATGGGGTCATAAGATCAGGAGAGGTGGAAGACTGCACGATGCCGGATACAGTTTTTACAATAGTACATGACTTCAGATATAAAGTTCAGATTAAGTGTTCCAAGAACCTGGTAGCGTCAAGTCTCAGATCACTGTACCCAAAACTGACACACTGTTAGTGACAACACTCCTGGTGACGGGTCCATATATAACCTACCCCTGATTGATGGCAATTCTGAGTACAGTAAGCGGTTATAACGACTAAAGTACTTGCCATAATCTACTAGCGTGCGTTAATAACTAAGGTCTTTAAGCGAGTATTCTGGGTTAGTAGTTAGCACATGCACTAATCATAAATTGTAAAAATTACGAAATACATCTGACACACTAAGTGTAAAGGAAATGTCAGCCTGGAGGAACAGTGCGTAGGTACGGAGAAGGGGGGCTATATTAATCACGTGTTGAGAGTAAGGTAAATAACTAGTCACTGTTTAAGAGAGGAAAGGGAGTAGCTGAAGGATGAGTGAGTGATTGTTCGCGTGTGGGGGTAAGGTACACGTGTGTGGCCCAGACCTTCTCACAACTCCATTGTATCTGACAGAACTGTGATGGATGAATCAGTTAGTAATTATATGACACGAACTGTATATACCCCGTCTTTATAGTTAAACTTTTATTATATATATATATATATATATATATATATATATATATATATATATATATATATATATATATGTGCAAATAAATCACTGTAGGTGCGCGTGATCTAGGTATATGCTGATAACAACAAGGAAAAAGAAAACACGAAGTTCCCAAGCGCTTTCGTGTAATTCACATCTTCAGGGGTGAGTACAGACTAAAGTAGAAAGTGCAGAACAAGTTATATATACAGAGGAGGGTGAGATCAAGTCCACAGAGGTCAAGTGTAGGTAATGACCCTGCTTTTGTGAAGATTAGTAGGGTCATTACCTATACTTCTGTGGGTTTTCAGCAATTTTTTTCGGCTATCGGCTAGATGTAATATTTTCTGGTTAGATGTAGCAAAAATCGGGTAAATCTAGCAGAAAATGGCTAATCTGGCAACACTGACTGGCGAGTTGGTTCTATACGCATGTGTGACGGTGCACAACAAAAAGTTTGCCAATTTTCTTAAGAAAAAAAAATCGACGAAAGAATGCCAGTGTGATGCCGCCTTAACCGACCGAAACAAGGTTATGGGGGTTAGAGTAGACTTGTCAACATGCAGGTTCAGGATAAGCTACCTCTATTAACACTCAGGACAGACTAACCGAATGATTTTCCCGACATTCATTCATATGCACAAGGATTCTCAACTCCAAAGATTCACATTCAAGCACAGACAAATCGACACACTTATTCGATGACAAAAAGCGACTTCAGCGCACTGCAGATGACAATACACAAGTTTTTATTTTAATAACGAAGTCCTCGTTCACTTCACTATGTTTCACTCCACTGAGGATGTAAAAGGGCTAAATATAACTCACCATCTTGAATATAGTGTTGGGACTCAGCAAGGCCGCCTCCCTCTTCCTGGCATCTCTCCTATAGGTTCTGTGGACAAGAAGAACGTGAAGAATTATAACATGTTCAAGTTACAGGACGGAGCTATGTTATGAAAATAAAACAAGATATTTTTATGGGTTTAGTTTTCTATGCAGCAGATGTATTTCAAACAATGAGATAATTTTACAGTAATTTTCATATTTTTTTACCCAAACCACGAGTCTTCAGACAATAATACTAACTCTGAAAAGGCGATATAAATCTAACAGTTCTATCTCTCATAATTTTTATCGTTGTTGCAGTAGTGTATTATACTAACTTTGTCATAGCCTTAAGGACATGAGTTGTTGAAGCGCAGTAATAACGTTATAACAACAACAATGAATCTCTTAATTTTTATTTGTTGATGACTTGTGTATTTATTAACCTGGTATACGTCCTTAAAGACCTTAGATGTTAACGCGTACAAACACATAATATCAACACAAGGCCAGATCAGATCACTGGATTTGCAAGGATCACCTCACCGTGTGTGTTAAGCCTACTAATTACTCCTCGAACCACGAGAGAAACCTTGTCTATACTTAAGGCCATGAATAATTATAAACAAAGTAGACGTGCTGAGTATCACGTTACTTTAGATTTACGAGAAGAAAGACTGTTGTAAACAAGCAAACATTGAGGTCGTGTGGGGAGGACCTGGCCTGACAGCACGCCACATGAGAATTACACGGCCAGAGAGACATGAATAAGAGGAGAAATAGTTTTGTTCGTGCCAGTTGGTGGAGTTATAAAGATAAACGAGAAATAACAAATAAATAATACTTGAGAAACAAGGCACAGCTGTGTTTACATGGTGCCGACAAAGTGTAGAGAAGCACTATACATGACCACCATAATATTGTACTGTATACAAGCTACGTGACGTCATGACTGTCCATTTAATAATCTTGTTTCTCACATGGCAAAGTTCCCATGATAACCCAATCCATCGGGTGTATGTACGATAAATATTAACATAAACAAAAACGTTATGTTATATTCAGAGCCCAACAAAAGGATTTTATTTGAACACAAGTACAGGTGTATTTGACCTGAGTGTAAACGCTTCCATAAAATAAACTTCATAATATTAAATGATAAATATAAACAGGCAAGGAAACTGTGAAGCCGGCTGGAAGGGAATATTAGCATGCCCAATAAAAAATCCCTCCACACACACACACAGTTTACTAACTCGTAAATCCACAGAGAACGATACTTTGTGAAAACAATTGAAAGAATACGGTTTCACCATTTACTCGTACTAAAGACGACTGCAGTGTAAAGCGACGAAATGAACTCAAGCTACTCAGATTTATTTCAAACGATGTAATATCAGACAAGAAGGAGCATCCAGAGGCCAAAACCTTATTCCAAACAGTGATAACATTTCCTCGGCGCCATGCTAACCCTGGCAGCTTTACTCCCCAACGACAAGGCAGTGATCGATCATGAGTAAATTATAGCCAGACTACACAACCCATACACCACCATTACCTCCATAACTGTTCCCGTGTCCCCCTCTTCCCTCTCCTCTCGTGCTCTTCAACCCTCACAGCCCCTCTTTATCCCTCTCACACACGCCCTCTCCCCCACACTCCCGTCAACTTTACTCTCATCATCTTTCTTCCCCCAACCCCTCTGTTATTTCCTATTCTTTGTCTCTATCTTTATTCCTTCTTTCACATCGCTCACTCACTTCTTTGGTTTACTTACGTTCCTCTTTAGTTTAGTTTAGCATAAAAAATTTCAGTTTATAATTTGTACTGTTTTCTTTCTCTCCAGCGATCTCTTCTATTCCCTCTTCCTTTATTTTGTTATGGTTATTTCCCTCTTATCGTTGTACTCGGCATCCCTAACACTCGTATCCTGCCCCAACAGAGATTAATGTTTACTACACTGACAAAAAAAAATAATAATAAATAAAAAAATAAATAAAATGTGCGTGACTGTTGGGAGCCGTGTGTGTGTACATCTGCGTGACTGTTGGGAGCCGTGTGTGTGTGTGTGTGTGTGTGTGCACATCTGTGTTAGGGTGCATGTAACCACGTGTGTCTGAGACTGGGTGCAGCGTGGCATTGTTTCATTGGTGTGTGTGTGTGTGTGTGTTTACAAAGGTTATGCGACTATATGCGTCTATTACTGTACGCAAGCGAGTAAAATACAACTTTTAAATCAGTATTATTCTATAGTAAGGATTATATGCAGAGCAGCTGAAAACAAAAACAAATACGATACACCACGTGACCGCCCACCAGCCAGCAACAACAACAACAACATCGATCAATAACTCCAATACAATACCAACTTGCAACCACAGACCCAAAGGCGACCACCGCCTTAGTGTTAACTTGCTTCACTTTCCACCTACTCTATCTATTGCAAGGGAGACGATAGCCGCCCTAGGCCCTCCCTTGTAAACTCTTCAGCCCAACACATGGACAAAATTAATATTAACCATCGATTGAAAAAGGAGTGATGTATTTGTATTATATAGTGGGGATATTATTGTCGTTTTGCTGTATCAACGCTCAGGGGGCTTTAAGTTCCTATACTACGCAACATCCTTAAAAAATATAAGAAAAACAAAGTTAGGCTTCAAGGAGTCTATTTTCGACGCGATTATATCTGCTTCGTAGTCTGTATTTTTGAGCTTACGTCGCCACGGGGATGAAAACAGCTAAACGTCAGTAGTGCGATTCTTATCACAATATTAAACAAGAATTTACGCACATCCCCTAACAATCAAGCAATCAGGCGGCGAGGCAGTTGACCAATCAAATACATCCCACAGTACGCAACAAGCAACCCGACACCCCCGCCTGGGAGATACCCACAGTTGCCAAGTCCACCATAACAAGATCTACCTAACGGAGGAACATCCTGCTAGAAAAAAAAAAAATATTCCATAGAAGTAAGTGCATCTGTATTTCATTAATTATGTAAAATATCACAACAGTTTATGGAAAGTATACTATAATAATTACTACACCAACTAAAAAAAAAAAGCTTGACAATTTTCAGTTGAACCGCAGACAAGAGGAAGATGTAGTAATACTTGGCAACAATGACGGCATCTGGTATAGCTGTTACGGACAACTGCCAGAGGTTACCACTGACCACTGCCACACCCACGCTGACAGTGGCAGTTACACACACACACACACATAAACGTTTCTCTTACAAAAATACAAAAACAATATACAATGAAATTTTGTATGGTATAGATAACAAGATTACAGGATAAACAAAAGCAATTCAAAGCATTGTCAACACATTGTAGACAGCGGCGCGAGATTTTAAAATACATATATGCATTAAAAGACACGCCCACCTCATCATGTCCCTAAATCTAATGCTCACACACGTCACCCACGCCCACACCCGCACACAAGAGTTACTGTCAATATTACGTACTCAAACCCCAGTAAAAGATGAATGGAAAGTTTTAACGGAGAAAACAGTGAGATTACAGAAACAACCTCATCTCTGTTGTCCGACCTTCAGTTAGGTGTCGAGTGCCTGGTAATAACATATTTGGTTAAAAAAAACTAAGATTAAGTATTTTGGTTCAAGTTTGTAGCTTCTTGGGATGATAATTTATTTTAGATATATATAATATTTTAATGGCTGCTTTTTGGAAGTTATGTTAGGCTATTATCGATTCGTTTAATGTTGAATACATATATGCATGTGTGAGATTGTGTTGTAAATCGAATTGAACGAGTGAATGATTACGTTCAATGAATTGTGTTATTTTAATTTAATATACTAAAACAAAAAATCACGAGAAACTCTAACATATTGGCTGAAGACATTGCACTACACTTTGGTAAGAAGCTTCTACACCATCCCCGACACCGCTCCTACTACCACCTGAGATCCCTTGTCCGAGAATTGCTGTTCGACACCACAACCGCATCCAGCCCATACGTGCACGAACTGATCGCTATAAGAACAGCCCAGTCCCAACCATTGTAAAAATTATCAATAACTTGTAATAAATCAGTGTATTCACTCCCGGTAAACACTGCTCCTTACACTGTCACTATGTTGAAATGAACTGTAGTTTGAGCTTTTCCCCATCTAGTTATTATATGTCTTATTTGTGTCACTTATATTTACCTGTATATTATTTGTAATTCGTAACCCATTCCCCAAATATAACTGTATATTTTCAGCCTTCTGGCTGCCAAGCTCTTTCAATAAACCGTTAATTATTAATTATTTTATTAATACTGTGTTAGGATAAATATTAAAATTACACGAAATAATCAACAAGCGCAATTCCATTCATTTCTGCGTTAAGGCATCGCCATTACGATATTGTAATCCAGATTGATTAACTTCTTTCTACCTGAATCTGTACTTGAAAGAAAATATTGCTGAGGACAGTGTAAAACCCACGCTGGTGAACTGTTAATATATCGAGTTTTTGGAGCGGTTTTTCGTCGCCCTGCTGAGTGTCTGCTACTGTACACATCTGAGTTGACTAGTGCTGGATGGGCGGGTGACTCAAAACGTGTTGGTGGTGGGCGGGGTGACTCAAAACGTGTTGGTGGTGGGCGGGGTGACTCAAAACGTGTTGGTGGTGGGTGGGATGACTCAAAAAGTGTTGGATGGTGGGCGGGGTGTCTCAAAAAGTGTCGTGGATGACTCAAAACGTGTCGGGTGGTGATCGGGGTGATTCACAAAGTGTTGATGGTTGGTGGATGGAGTGGCATAGGGTGCTGGTGGGTGGGCGGCACAGGCGGTGGGTGGGCTGTCGATTAATTCACACAATGCGATACAGGAGGTATGGGTGGAGTCACTCACACAGTAATAGTGACCGGCTGGGGGGTGAAAGAGTGGGGGCGGAGTGGGGTGAGAGGCTCAAGGACAAGGTGGGGAGTATGTGGAGTGGGGTGAGGAGGATGGGGGACGGAGTTGGTGGAGGCAGGACAGGTTAGGGTGAGAGGCTGGGACGGAGTTAGGGGTGAGGCTGGGGGACAGAGTTAGGGTGGGGA